CCGGACGTGAAATAAAAGAATCCTCTATGGCGTTTTATATGGCTGAAGTGTTTCAGTGTACGTGAAATCAGGGGCGTCAACATAATGAGAACAGGGAAAGGGTGTTGAGGGTGGGAGTGTAGGGGGTTCACGAAGGGGCCCCCTTTATAAATTTGTGGAGGGGAAGTCTGGTTTAAGTCTGTTATATTGTGTGATGTGCTAAATGGCAAATAATACATTTAAAAAAAAAAAAAAAAAAACGTATCAACAAATACTTTACTTAAGCAGAGAACTTCTTTACATAGTTAGGTAGAGGGGCGGTTATCCACCCTACAAGCGCCCACCCCCCAAGAATATCAGTAAAGGACCCTTTTCCACGCCCTCAGACTTATTGGGCATAAAGGGCTAGATTTTATAGACCAAACGGCACTTGGTGGATGATGTAGTCAGCATCTCGCCGGCCGCCTTTACTTTCCAGGACTTATCTTGTACACACTCAAGGCTAGGTCGACCTGAGAGCCTAGGTCATTTAAAAAAAAGGAACCGAACCCACGACCTTCCGATCCGCAAGCGAGTGTCAAGCCGCTATGCGGCTGCCAAGAATGTCAGTATTTTTATCAAATATTTAAATATTCAGTAAAAACAAGAAGAATGTGTGTGGAGCACTGGCGACGTACCCGTGAAGCCAGAAGTCTCGCACGTGCCCAATTGACGCGGTAACGGAAGCGGCCTGTTTGGTCATGTTTACCGCGCCATCATTTATTTCAAAATGACATCACTGCAGCAGTATGGGAATTTGGCAGGTGTTGTTCACCCACGGAATAGTCTTGGCTTTACGAAAATGTGTTGAAGTGTTTAGCGTTCAGTATTGTTTATGTTGTCCTTCCTTCACAATTGTGTTGAAGTGTTTAGCGTTCAGTATTGTTTATGTTGTCCTTCCTTCACAAATTGTGTTGAAGTGTTTAGCGTTCAGTAAAGTTTATGTTGTCCTTCCTTTACAATTGTGTTGAAGTGTTTAGCGTTCAGTATTGTTTATGTTGTCCTTCCTTCACAAATTGTGTTGAAGTGTTTACCGTTCAGTAAAGTTTGTGTTGTCCTTCCTTCACAATTGTGTTGAAGTGTTTAGCGCTCAGTAAAGTTTATGTTGTCCTTCCTTTGCAATTGTGTTGAAATGTTTAGCGTTCAGTACAGTTTATGTTGTCCTTCCTTCACAATTGTGTTGAAGTGTTTAGCGTTCAGTAAAGTTTATGTTGTCCTTCCTTCACAATTGTGTTGAAGTGTTTATAGCGTTCAGTACAGTTTATGTTGTCCTTCCTTTACAATTGTGTTGAAGTGTTTAGCGTTCAGTACAGTTTATGTTGTCCTTCCTTCACAATTGTGTTGAAGTGTTTAGCGCTCAGTAAAGTTTATGTTGTCCTTCCTTTGCAATTGTGTTGAAATGTTTAGCGTTCAGTACAGTTTATGTTGTCCTTCCTTCACAATTGTGTTGAAGTGTTTAGCGTTCAGTAAAGTTTATGTTGTCCTTCCTTCACAATTGTGTTGAAGTGTTTATAGCGTTCAGTACAGTTTATGTTGTCCTTCCTTTACAATTGTGTTGAAGTGTTTAGCGTTCAGTACAGTTTATGTTGTCCTTCCTTCATAATTGTGTTGAAGTGTTTAGCGTTCAGTAAAGTTTATGTTGTCCTTCCTTCACAATTGTGTTGAAGTGTTTAGCGTTCAGTAAAGTTTATGTTGTCCTTCCTTTACAATTGTGTTGAACTGTTAGCGGCTCAGATACATTTTATGTTTCTTCCTTCACAATTGTGTTGAAGTGTTTAGCGTTCAGTAAAGTTTATGTTGTCCTTCCTTCACAATTGTGTTGAAGTGTTTAGCGTTCAGTAAAGTTTATGTTGTCCTTCCTTCACAATTGTGTTTAAGTGTTTAGCGTTCAGTAAATTTTATGTTGTTCTTCCTTCACAGTTGTGTTGAAGTGTTTAGCGTTCAGTAAAGTTTATGTTTTGGGTGTGGCGAATTTCTGTTACGAACATTTTGTTTGTCCCCGGTAGTTTTTCTTGCTTGAACTCTTATCCGGCTGGATAAGAAGAATTTCTAATAAGAAGAAACCTTTTCTAAGGTCCCGGTGAGCTTTTCCTGTCAGATCTGCACAGTAGTTCGTCACAGACGGAATGCGTTTACACTTGCTTGACTTTCCATCGAATTGCGTTAGCGTAGTGCTGGGACGCCCGAACCTGGGTGCTTCAGTTAAGGTGACCATTCGTCCCTGATTGTCCGGGGGCAGTCCCATAATCAGATCTTATGTACCGGATTATTTTTAAGAACTTATACTCTCCAGTGGTTGCCTGCGAAAACATTCAGGGAAAATACGGCCAACTTAGCTTGGGTACCTTAAGCCACGGCCTTCTCTATACACACAAGGACCTGCTTAAGCCATGGCCTTCTCTATACACACAAGGACCTGCTTAAGCCATGGCCTTCTCTATACACAGAAAGACCTGCTCAAGCCACTGCCGACTCTATACACAGAAGGACCTGCTTAAGCCACTGTCGACTCTACACACAGAAAGACCTGCTTAAGCCACTGCCGACTCTATACACAGAAGAACCTGCTTAAGCCACGGCCTTCTGTATACACTGAAGGACCTGCTTAAGCCACTGCCGACCCTATACACAGAAGGACCTGCTTAAGCCACGGCCTTCTCTATACACAGAAAGACCTGCTCAAGCCACTGCCGACTCTATACACAGAAGGACCTGCTTAAGCCACGGCCTTCTCTATACACAGAAGGACCTGCTTAAGCCACTGCCGACCCTTTTACACAGAAGAACCTGCTTAAGCCACTGCCGACCCTATACACAGAAGGACCTGCTTAAGCCACTGCCGACTCTCTATATAAATAGCTCTAGATGGGCGTGCTTGAGCATAGCCATCTCCCCCATCCCCAGTACAAAGTCACAGGGCTCAGCTCACGTCTCTCCCTAATTTTGTTTTTCAATTATAAAAAGGGGGAGTGAGTGGGAACAGCCGTCTTCTCCATGTTATAAAAAGAATAATTCCGAGTGTTTAAATACAATATTTCACATCTAATGTATTCATTTGCCAATCAGCACAATATTATTATTAACCACTTAAACAAGGTTAAGGTCCATCGAGCCTCCACGTGCCGGGCCCGCTCAGTGTGTGTATGTGTGTCCACACTCAAGACACTCTGTTTTTCTGCTGTTGTTCAGACCAAGACCGTCTCCATCTGTTCTTGCCAAGGCCCTTGCTGTGAATCTCTGTTGCAATGTCTTGCACTTGTCTTTCATTTTCAGCGCATGTTGTTTACATTGTGCCCAGCTACCTGTATACCTGGCATACCTTGTACGAATCTCATTAGTGTTTCACCGTACAAATTGAATAAATTGGGCGATAGTACACATTTCTGTCTAACACCTTGTTTCATGTTTTGAAAACGTCTCACTTTTTGTTGTCAGATCTTGTAGCTGCTTCTTGTTGCCAGTATGTTTTTGTTTTAAAAAATACAAGTCATACAAACGCTTATTTGAGGTACTTCAGTTTTATTCACCCCAAACAAACCTAGTAGCTATATTTAGGGTAGCTATATTGAGCACGGGTTAGGGTTTTTGGTTATCGAAACACAAATAAAGAAAACCGAAATAAACCGCACAGGAATTCACACTGATGTCACATAATGTATCTAGATATCCCTGGAGCTGACGGATTTAGTTGAGGGTGAACTAATATTGAAGCACCCATATGCTTCTGCCACAGTCTAAATGCTTACAGGTGTACACGATCTTGTGTATTCAGATACAGTTAGCCATGTGGCAGATACTGTATTTAGGATATACAATGATAGCTTTTCATAAAGTATCGCCTTTCCGTCCCAGGTAATTTCCAGTAGAAGTTGTGCATAGTAAGTTTAAAAAAGCAGTAATTGGAGTGTGATGTTTCAGTTGAGACGACTCGATAATGGCCGAAAGATTCGACTCAGTAATGGCTGAACTTAAAGTTGCGACTCAGTAATGGCTGAAAGTTGCGACTCAGTAATGGCTAAAAGTTTCGACTCAGTAATGTCTTAAAGTTGCGACCAAGTAATGTCTTAAAGTTGCGATTTAGTAATGGCTGAAAGTTGCGACTTTGTAATGGCTGAAAGTTGCGACTCAGTAATGTCTGAAAGTTTAAACTCAGTAATGTCTGAAAGTTTAAACTCAGTAATGGCTGAAAGATGCTACTCAGTAATGGCTGAAGGTTGCGACTTAGTAATGGCTGAAAATTGCGACTCAGTAATGTCTAAAAGTTGCGACTTTGTAATGTCCGAAAGTTGCGACTCTGTAATGTCTGCAAGTTGCGACTCAGTAATGTCTGAAAGTTGCGACTTAGTAATGTCTGAGAGTTGCGACTCAATAATGGCTGAAAATATTTTTCAGTATGACTTAAAGCTTACTCACTTCTAATTGATAGGTCTCCGTTCCATTCCTTGAGGTATATACTGAGCATATAGTAATAGTTGTACATCTTTACGGATTGGTAATGTGGTGAAACATCTCGGCGACCCGGAACGGCAATTGTCGATATCCATTATAGGCTTTGTCGACCCGAGAACCTGGGGTCTTTAAACACCCCCACCTCAAACATGATTCGAAATGAAATCAACCGTATTAGAAGGCGGTCACGTTTATTTCGGCACCACTGCGATTATACGGAATTTTAAGTGTAGTCATTAGTAAACGTATGTGCTGTTGGATGTAAAATTAATTATACATACACATACAGTGTAGCCTGTACAACGCTTCTAAAACTGTGGAGTTTTACTCCCACTGTGAACTTTGTAATTTTTTAGTAGTCTTGAATACACAGACTTGTGTCAGTAATGAGTTCCGAGGCAAGGATGTGCAAACTATGGCTGAACTACGAGACTTAAGTTTTTATCTGTGTCTTGCGTGAAATCTTTGAACACTTCTGAGCGTATTTTGACTGAACTAGTAGTTGAAATGCACAAGATGAAATTTTTCACCAGACTGCTGGACAAGGTACAGACCGAGCCCGAGCTGCAAGAGGAGGGGAAGAGGTTCGTCTTCTCCGTTACCGACCTTCTAGAGCGGTTGTTGGACTACAGGTAAGGTCGTGTTTTTCTTTCGTCGAATGAGAGGGCTGAAGAGGATGTACTTTTCTTGTTTTATAAGATGGATGGAAGAGTTAAGATTACGTTAAACTATTGTACTGGGTAAGATTGGTTTAGATTCAGATTCATATTTTATACATTGGATGAGAGTTCATGTTTGTTAGTTGCAGTAGAGTTTGGATTAGGTCGGTATTTTGTTCGTTGAGGGAAAGAGTTTAGATTATAATGTTTTCTCCCCAGGAAGGCTAAGGCTAACCCAGGCATGAGATGCCTGCATATGTGTCGGCTGGAAAACGCACATATCGCAGCCATGCTATAAACGGACACAACGCATTTACAGCTTGAGAAGAGCGCAGACGAAGAAGATTGTGTTCATATTTAATTCAGCCCCCATGTCGGTTCCGGGGCCCCATTGTGAGAAAACAATAACCGACCCACTGCCTGCCTGTATTGCGACTAAATGGGGGCTTCCTTCGAAGTCGGAGTACATCTGCTTGACAGGCAAGGAACCAACAGTCTGCTTGCAAATGAGTCAGACCTGTGAAATAGATGTGCACCCAACGCGCAGTTTCTGGAACAGGATTAGAGTCCAGAAGTGGACGAACAACCACAACTATTCTCCGGAGTTCAAAACCGGTGAACGCGAAGAAGAAGATATATATTCACGTTGTTGAAAAGTGTGGATTAAGTTCACTGTACATTTGATAAAGTAGTTTATATTACTCTAGGTGTAGAATTATAGACGAGTTATGAAGATACCATGAGAACTAACAGCCTGCGTCAAAAGAAGTCAGTACCACATTCTTTCATCACGTCAGGAGAAAGGGAAAAGTGGACTACGTTGCGACTTGTGAAAAGAGAGGAAGTGATGGGGGATGTACGTAGAGAGACCAAGAGGAAACATGTTAACACATTGTCATGCTGGCTTTGTAGAGCATACATACATTATTCGATGGACAGGGCACGAGACGTGGTCCGTGCACGGCAAGACAGGCAGACTTCACACGGCATCAACTATATACAAGAAGAAGCTTCTGCCATTGATGGATTTTACAGACCCGTCAATTAAAACAAGAGCCCAATTATCAACGAAACTTCTGACGAAGATAACAGAGAGAGTGGGGAGACTTGAAAGTAAAACGGAACCGGCCATACAGATTTGGTTCCAAGAAGCTTAGATCGGCGTGAAACCCTCATAAAATGGATTGATTGATCTGGCGGCGAAAGAAGGGACAGAAAAATGTCTGTGATAATGAAGGCCTTGTCATAGCGTGAGCGTCTGTCTTTATTCGCTAGGCCGGACTCTGTAACATGTTAATGTACCTTTTTTTTTAGCAGTTTACAGCAAGCATGATGCGGCAGGGGTTTCAATGCTGTGCCATGGGCGCGATATTTGGCAGGGGTTTTAATACTGTGCCATGGGCGCGATGTAAGGCAGAGGTTTCAATGCTGTGCCATGGGAGCGATGTAAGGCAGGGGTTTCAATGCTGTGCCATGGGCGCGATGTAAGGCAGGCTGTGCCATGGGATTGTAAGGCAGGGTTTCAATGCTGTGCCATGGGCGCGATGTAAGGCAGGGGTTTCAATGCTGTGCCATGGGCGCGATGTAAGGCAGAGGTTTCAATGCTGTGCCATGGGCGCGATGTAAGGCAGAGGTTTCAATGCTGTGCCATGGGCGCGATGTAAGGCAGAGGTTTCAATGCTGGGCCATGGGCGCGATGTAAGGCAGAGCTTTCAATGCTGGGCCATGGGCGCGATATAAGGCAGGGGTTTCAATGCTGTGCCATGGGCGCGATGTTTGGCACGGGTTTCAATGCTGTGCCATGGGCGCGATGTTTGGCACGGGTTTCAATGCTGTGCCATGGGCGCGATGTTTGGCAGGGGTTTCAATGCTGTGCCAATGGCGCCACTGTGGGAATGATGACAAGGAGATGCATAGTTCCGATGTCGTAGTAGATGTATCAGAGTATTACAAATAGATAACATTAAAAATAAAGAAGTTAGAAGACCAGGACTGAGCTACAGTAGAGTTTTGATTATCCGGTTCTGGGTTAGCCGGACTCTGTATTATCCGGCATAGTTTAAAATTATTCTTTGTACAGACGTGCGGATTTCCCGTGTGGGTCCTAGGTCCCATTGTGGAGGGACAAAAAGAAAACCCACTGCGCCCTTACAAGCATGTCGTAAAGGTCGACTAATTGGGGAAAAAAAAAAGGGGGGGGGGGGGTCCTTTGCAGTGTATTGCCTGTGATGCAAGGAGCTAACAGTCTGCATACAAATAAACCAAATCTATAGAAACCTGTGTACAGGCAAAAACTCCTGTTCTGGAACAGGACTTAAGTCCAGAAGTGGACGAACAGCCAGAACTTTCCGCTAAAGTTTACAGCCAGTGAATGGCAAGAAGAATAAATGAGGGTAATTTCATTTTAGTTCAACCTGCCTCGGGAAATCTTAGTTTCCAGGAAATTCCAGTATTATTTATTGCGGGGGTGGGGGGTGGAATTGTAGTTAGAGTTAATCGGTGGCTATTTCACACCGTAACACCCCTGTAATATTGGACTTTCCCCGGGAACTCTAGGATTCCCACAGATAAGGTGGACAAATAATTAAGAACCGAAATTAGGAATAATTTACATTGCCAAGTCGTTGCAAGCTTGCGTCACATATTTTTTTTTCTCCTTTAGTTTCTGTTTTCCATAAGAATCTTTCTCTCACACAAACACAAGCACTCTCACATGCACACACCTTCTGCGAACTGTTACACATTGAACCCCCCACCGTTTTCTCTCTCTCTCTCTCTCTCTCTCTCTCTCTCTCTCTCTCTCTCTCTCTCTCTCTCTCTCTCTCTCTCTCTCCCTCCCTCCCTCCCCATCTCTGACACCTGTTTATCGTCTTGCATGTTCCTTAAGCAAGGGAGCACATAAAAACAAAAACCTGTGGAAGAAAACAGGCAAACAGCGGATGCCGAACGTGTAACGAGACTAAAATAGCTTGAACTCATTATCTCATTACGGTAACAGTCTTTGCTGAAGTGGCCTCTGTGTCAGACATTTCAAGCTACAAGCTGTGTCGACAGGGCATGGAAATCAAGAAAGTACAACTACCTTGGAATTTGTCTGTGTTTATCATTGATAAGCCTAATAGATCAAGTTTAAAGATGAAATGATCGACTTCATGGCTCCTGATTTTAACTCAAATGGCTCGGGCTGACTCCACAGAATGGTTTAATGCATGCGAGCGAGTCACAAAAATACAGATTCCGTAGCTCCAGTACTGTCTTGATGATGTAGTAAATTTGCATTCCTGAATTCACTGATGCACATAATCAGCCACTGACAGGATCAAGGGCTGATATAGTGTGAATAGCATTCTCTGCTCTATGTCAATTGCAGCCATAGTCTTAAGTGCACTAAGTCCTTTTTGGCATCTCGTCACAACACTCTCCACATAGTCCTTAAATGACAGCCTCCTGTCAAACGTAATTCCTAGATACTTCAGTTTGCTCTGTCTGTTGATGTTTCTACCATCTATCGTGAGACTTGGGACATTAGCTTTAACGATCCTGTTGTCCAGAGAACACCACAAAACAGGCCCCTTCAAGGTGAGGTGTTGAGGGTTTTTTCCATATAAAAAAATGTTGGTTCCCAGGTTGACCCAGACTTTTTTCATGGATACCAGACAATATGCAGGGTAGTAAAAGTGACTGCCGTGATGTTTTACCATATTACTCACCGAATGCCGATTGGTTTATAAAATATAGGTAGGTCTAACACTATATGGGACACCGGTGAGTTCTCCTTATCAGGCCTGCACTGTAGTTCGTCGCCCAGTACGCTCGAAAGCGTGAAAAGGCAGAGCTAATTGCCGTACGAACTACAGTGCAGACCTGATAAGGAGAACTCACCCTGGCCACAAGAAATGGTTCATAAGAAATTCTTCTTATTCAGATGAGATTTCAAACACACAGAAGTGTCAAAGGCAGGACAAAGTGACAGTGGCCATTTACTGACATATTTTTGGCTGTATCTTCTCAGGGTGAGAAATGGTGCCAGTACATTGTCTATGCCCTTATTGCTGAAACACTTGAAATGGAAAACGAAACATTGTTTGAAACACTTGTAATGGAAAACGAAACATTGTTTGAAACGCTTGTGTATGTTCACAGAGAGATCATGGACAGGGAGGAGCAGCGGGACACCAAGATGCACTGTACATTCAACATCCTGGTAAGCGGTTGTCGATGGAGTATTTCTCATCGAGAAAAACTCGTCTCAACTGTCTCTCTGTCTGTGTATCTCTATGTATGTCTATATGTAGATCTATTCATATGTATATCAGTTTGTAGGTCTATCCGTCTGACTATCCTTCACACACACATGTACGTACGCACACACACCAGACACACACACACACACACAGTCAAACACACACACACAATCACACACACACACACACACAGACACAAACGACAGTGCTGCAACATGTTCTGATCACCACATACACAATTATTAAATACATAGTAAACATACAGTGTAACTAAGAGCGGGAAGGGTTGAGGGGGGGGGGGGGGGGGGACACATAAATGAAGGAAAACGAGGAAAGGATGGCCTGACAACTTCCTGTCGTGGCATGGACAGATTTCAGCAGATGATCTGATACGGTCTGTTGGGGGTTACTGACTCTGTCTTGCAGTGTTGCCACTTGCCACTTTTCTTTGACAAAAAACATCCAAAACGGAGTCAAATAATATCTAAAAACATCTAAATTTGCGTGGAAAACATCTAGGAAAAAAGAACATACTAATGGAAAGAGTCACAAATTGCATAGCAATTGATATGACTTACCCTATAGAATCATGTCCTTATCTTTACTGAAGTCTGCCTTACAAGATCCACACGATAAACTTAGCTTGGATGATGAAGTTGAAGCTTCAGATCCAAAATGACTCTGGTATGCTTTAGCTGTTCCAATTTCTTGTAATACCCAATAAGGGAGCTGATAAGTGGAACAGCCTTTTCCTACTCTTATCAGGCAAAATTTGTATTGCCACGATAGCATTTAAGAGGTCAAATTTATCCTGTTTCTTAGGTTAGATTTGATAAATTCACTACAAATGAAAAGAATCTAGAAAAACATTACCATCTTAAGGTCAAAAACGCCATCTAAATGCAAGAAAAAACATCTAAATATGGATGTAAAACATCCAAAGTGGCAACACTGCTGTCTTGCCACTGGACCCAGATATCACTTAGGCGAGAGAGTGAGGTCGACACTGCGCAACTCTTCCTCACTTTAATCCAAGTCACCGTGCAAGTCACTCTTTCATCACTTGATGAAAGAGAGTGGTCATCATCATCTTGATAGACGATACACACACACACACCACTCTCTCTCTCTCTCTCTCTCTCCTGTGCCAGAACGATACATGTGTATGTTCGAATAGTAATGTTATATTATCAATCATAATACAACAGTAAGATGCGGCTGAGCGAACGATTAAGAAAGCCGGATCTCATGCGGGAGACCCAGATTCATATGTTTGGTAAGGTCGTATATATTTGTCCCTGTGTCAAAGGCAAAGATAAATTCCTAAGCTGCGACCAAGAATCCTCAGGCTTAAAGAAACCCCCCCCTAACCCCTCTTTTTGGCATACATCGCAAAAGTAAACACAGTTTTTATTGTTTCCCCATTTAAAAGAAATATATCAGCATTTGAATATAATAAAGTGGGACCATGATGCGATGAAATAAAACCAGCCCACAGAATCGTTCCGTAGTAGACAGGTGTTGGTAGACAGTCGGCGCGCTCAAGATATTCTTCTTCATCCGACAGTGGGCTGACATCTCTACTGTTGAACAACGTGTGTCAACAGCTGTTCGCTTTGCCTTGTTAACAAAATTTATGACTTTCTTTTTCTCTCTTCGTTTTTTTTTTTTTAAACTTCTGTCCACATTCTGAGTTTGTTTGCTAGTCACTAATGTTATCTTTCTATGCTTATTGACAGTTACTTCTGTCTTTCTGTTTGTGTTTCTTTTTGTTAGTTATGTTGTCTTTCTGTGTTTGTCTGCTGTAAGTTCTGTTGTCTTTCTCCGTTTCTTTGCTGTTAGTTCTGTTGGTTTTCTGTGTTTGTTACCTGTTTGTTATTTGCCTTCCAGTGTTTCCTCGCTGTTAGTCTGTCTGTTGTCTTTGTTTCTTTTGCTGATTTGTTGTCTTTCTGTGCTTCTGTGCTGTTAGTTCTGTTCTCTTTCTGTGTTACTCTGCTGTTAGTCCTGTTGTCTTTCTTTGTTTATTTGCTGTTAGCTCTTTTGTCTTTCTGTTTGTTTATTTGCTATTAGTTCTGTTCTCTTTCTGTGTTACTGTGATGTTAGTTATGTTGTCTTTCTGTTTCTTTGCTGTTAGTTCTTTATCTTTCTGTGTTTATGTGCTGTTAGTTCTGTTTGTTGTAGTTTTTTGGTTTGTTTGTTTGATGGTTGCTGTTACTTCTGTTGTCTTTCTATTTCTTTGCTGTTAGTTCTATTGTCTTTATGTTCTTTGCTGTTAGCTCTGTCATCTTTCTGTTTCTGTGCTGTTAGTTCCTTGTCTTTCTGTGTTTCTTTGCTGTTAGTTATGTTGTCCTTCTGTGTTTCTTTGCTGTTAGTTCCGTTGTCTTTTTGTGTTTCTTTGCTGTTAATTCTGTTGTCTTTCTGTGTTTATGTGCTGTTAGTTCTGTTTTGTTGTTGTTTTTGCTGTTACTTCTGTTGCCTTTCTATTTCTTTGCTGTTAGTTCAATTGTCTTTACGTTTCTTTGCTGTTAGCTCTGTCGTCTTTCTGTTTCTGTGCTGTAAGTTCCTTGTGTTTCTGTGTTTCTTTACTGTTAATTCTGTTGTCTTTCTGTGTCTGTCTGTCTGCTGTAAGTTCTGTTGTCTTTCTCCGTTTCTTTGCTGTTAGTTCTGTTGTCTTTCTATGTTTGTTTAATTTGCTGTTAGTTCTGTTGTCTTTCTCTGTTTCTTTGCTGTTAGTTCTGTCTTTCTGTATTTCTTTGCGGTTGGTTCTGTTTTTCTGTGTTTCTTTGCTATTACTCAGGTTTTTTTTTTTCTGTTTGTTCAGTAATATTGTCCTCATCTACTTAAATTTGTGTTTCATGTTTTCCCCTTCCTTCAACATTTACTCTTTTCCGTTTCCCTTTCTTTCTTTCTTTCTTTCTTTCTTTCTTTCTTTCTTTCTTTCTTTCTTTCTTTCTTTCTTTCTTTCTTTCTTTCTTTCTTTCTTTCTTTCTTTCTTTCTTTCTTTCTTTCTTTCTTTCTTTCTTTCAATTTCTTTCTTCATTCTTTTGTTTCCTTCCTCCTCCTCTTTCCTTTTGTTTGATATCTTCTTGTTTCCTTCCTTTTTTTTTTTCCATTTTTTTTTTCAATCGTAAATCTTTTCTATTAAATTTTTTTTTTTTTCAATCTTGTCTTCCACGTTCGCTGTGTAACAGTAATAATTCCCAACATTAAAGGGTGTTTATTTACCAATGTGAAACTAAAAGAGGTGATTGATAGTTTGACATTTTTGCACGCCCCCCCCCCCCCTTTTTTTTTTTTTTTCCCCAGTACCCGAGTTCCCTGCATTTCCGGAAAATGAACCATTCCGGTATCACATTTGTGGAGGTCCGCACGTGCGCGCGCTCATCGCATCGTTAACTCGGGTTCAGCCGTTATGCTGTTCTCTTGAAAATGAGACAGCTTTGGTGGTGGTGAGGGTGGTAGCAAGGGGTGATTGGGCCTCTCATCCGGTAAACGCCAACTTCCGTGCAGTCAGCTGAGCAATATGTGAATGTGTTTCTAACCGTCGGGTGTGCTCGTGGGAAACGGGACGTGATTTGGATTGGCGGTGTTTTTTTAATCTTTTTTTTTTTTTTTCAGTGGCGGCACCAAGGCTAGGGATGTTTTTGTTCTGTCAGAGGCGTTTCCCGCATTAGTGGTGTTTCCTGTGTGATATTCTTCAACCTACTAGTGGATGGAGCCGGACTTTAAAAAAAAAAAAAGACCGTTGGCTCCCAGGTCGACTCAATCTTATCTTAAGTGGGTACCAGGTACAGTCCTGGGAAGTAAAGGCGGCCGGCGTGAGGCTGACCACATCAGCCAGCAAGTGCCGTTTGGTCTATAAAAATACATAGGTCTAGCCCTATTTACCTAGTACGTCTGAAGACGTCTTTTTGTACTTACTAGTGGAAGTTCCCCTGATATGAGTGTACCCTGTAGCTTTATGCTCCCGGGCATCTCTTCTGATAGGGGTCTACCCTTTGCCTTTATTCTTTCAGTCACCTCCGCTGATAGGGGTGAACTCTGTGCCTTCTTTCTGTCGTCTCCCTTGATGGGTGGGGAGGAGGGGGAGGGGGGGCGGGGAACCCCGTTTCTTTATTCTTTCAGTCGTCTTCCCTGACAGGGGTATACCCCATGCCTTCTTTCAGTCGTCTCCCCTGATAGGTGTATACCCCATGCCTTCTTTCAGTTGTCTTCCTCGATAGGGGTATACCTCCATGCCTTCTTTCAATCGTCTTCCTCGATAGGGGTATACCTGCATGCCTTGTTTCAGTCGTCTTCCATGATAGGTTACCTCCATGCCTTGTTTCAGTCGTCTCCCCTGGTAGGTGTAACTCCATGCCTTCTTTTAGTCGTCTCCCCTGGTAGGTGTAACTCCATGCCTTGTTTCAGTCGTCTTCCCTGGTAGGTGTAACTCCATGCCTTCTTTTAGTCGTCTCCCCTGGTAGGTGTAACTCCATGCCTTTTTCAGTCGTCTTCCATGATAGGTTACCTCCATGCCTTCTTTTAGTCGTCTCCCCTGTTAGGTGTAACTCCATGCCTTCTTTCAGTTGTCTCCCCTGTTAGGTGTAACTCCATGCCTTCTTTTAGTCATCTCCCCTGGTAGGTGTAACTCCATGTCTTCTTTTAGTCGTCTCCCCTGGTATGTGTAATTCCCTGGTATGTGTAACTCTATGCCTTCTTTTAGTCGTCTCCCCTGGTAGGTGAAACTCCATGCCTTCTTTTAGTCGTCTCCCCTGGTATGTGTAACTCCATGCCTTCTTTTAGTCGTCTCCCCTGGTAGGTGTAACTCCATGCCTTCTTTTAGTCGTCTCCCCTGGTAGGTGTAACTCCATGCCTTTTTTATTCGTCTCTCCTGGTAGGTGTAACTCCATGCCTTCTTTTAGTCGTCTCTTCTGGTAGGTGTAACTCCATGCGTTCTTTCACTTGTATCCTTTGATAT